TCAAATAAAAAAATAAAATCTGTACATACAAATAGCTGTTACTACTACTACGCACGTAAGTATATTAAAATACATTATGCATATTACTGCATCAATCACGTCGGCGACTTGAAAACATCTAATATCAGGAAGATGTGTGGTCAGTAAATTGAAGTTGGCAACATGTGTAATAGACAAAAACATTAATGACCAAGCAGGTTTTATATTAAATCCGGGTAATAACAAAATCATGGTGACACTGGCCGCAAAGGACTCCTGTGCTATATAAAGCGGCTGACGAGCTGGGCCCCGCGTTCCGCACGCGCCGGCCTCGTCTCTCACACTACACAAGACGGACTATACTTTTTATACTCTGCCGATTTATGGTACTAGGAAATGGAACTGGCCATTTCTTAATAGATATAAACATAATAAACAAGTAAAACATATAAATCAGCACTGACTACATTTCTATAAAACAGACATTTAAAATTGATTTTCGAGTGATTTCGATTGATGAGTTTTTTTATACATAATTTTAAGCTCGTTTGATTAACTAGATAACCGTTTAGCTATGGGTTTTTAGTACATAAGTTATGAACATATTTTTGAAGACAAGAATGTCTTCTACAGAAGAGTTCGTAAAGAATATATTTTCAGACGAAAATGCGTCGAAAATAAAACTTGAAGCCTGCTCAGCTTAGCGAGACAAATTTATCGCGTTCCCAAATTCTTTGTGTAGCCAGTCGACTGTCATAAAATAGTCTAAAATGGTAACATTAAAATATCTCGATATGATGACAGAAACATAATCGCGATGTTTTTGGAGGAACATCTAAAAAAGTTTCTTTTAAGCTATGACATTCACAATAATAATACTGCATGTTGTAAAAGGAGACTTTATATGTGTTTTTGTATATTTCAAAGATTGGGTAGTTTTCATACGATCTAATCTCAGCTGTAGATCCGACATAGATTTATTCGATCCAGCATACTTCCGGCAGCCTGTATATCCGATGCTCAGCTGTTTACATATTCGTTAAACACACGACTTGTACGTTTCTAATTACAGAATGTAGCCGAGATTACTTTAACCGCAAAGAACAGAGCAGCTGAGATTAACACGTAGCTTTTTTTCAACAATATACAAAGTTATACAGAAAAAAGGTTGTGGGAAAAGTTTTTAATACTTAAAGTGAACAAGTTTGCAGGAAGTTTAAAATTTTTAAATCCTTAATCGAATAGCTTATATCAAAACAATTTTTTATAGTATAGAGGTGATAAGGTTTAGTACAAAGTCAGCCGATCTATATTTTTTTTATTAGATCATCGACATCCTATCGTTTGTCGTAGCGAAAAAAATATTTTAGTTTGACTTAAGTATAATAAATATGCACAAATCAAAGTACGTAAGTTAACGTATTGCGTATAGAGATCCTAATGATGCTAATAATCCCACATAGGGTTGCCAAATCAGAGCCTACATAAGTTGCAACATTAGAGCATTTTGTTTTGCCGCGAATTTTAACTAGGACAGTAGGGTTGCTACTATTGTGTATTGTTAAAGCCGTTTCGAGTACCAACGAATACGATATTAGTGGGTTACTTGCTTTAAAAAAAATAAATCTATTTTCAATATTTCCTATTTTAGATTGAAATGCAGTGTGGATATATATACGTATCGCATGATCATCAATCATCGATTAAGGCTCAAATGCTAATACTGTTTAAGCATCTAAGTTAATTCATCTTTGGCAATTCATACATTACCCTAAAGTATAACACAAAGACGAATTGTAGTCATTAGCTAATTAATCTTATCTAATTACCTTTTACGTACATTTTATTTACATTTAAAGCTGAACACGTGAATTAAAGCGATATACTGAACATTATTTTCTTAGGTTTATCATAGTAACTTCATAGGTATATAGTATATGGATACAATTCTCTTAACAGCTTCAAATAGTAAGTTAATAAAAGCAGGTCAAAATGCATGTAAGCTGGAACGAGGAATGCGACGACAAAATGTCATCGAATTCCTGTGTCTTAAAAACAAGGTAAACGTCGAGTTTTATATTTCGTGATTTATTCGGTTTTTAATTTGTTATGATTATTTACTTTCATCTTTTAGAGTTATTGCTATTTATCTATAATACGTACCACATAGAGGGGTGTGGCAGGAATATCCCCAATTAACTAGGGATTATATGTACGATTCGAAACAGTAAATCCGATCCTACATCGGATTATTGGATATTGTTCTTATGATCTTAATAATACAAAACATCATGAAATAGTCAACTAACAAATATGCAAAAGTCTTTCACTGGACATTACTGTCTGTTATACAAAGATATTTAACATGTTAAACTATGCATTCTAATATATTAATTTAGCTGAATTATAAAACGCTATAACAGCGTACGTTAATGGAATCTCGCTGTCAACTATCAAACAGCACAAATTCGCTTTGAACGGGATATTTCCAGTGATGAAGGCAGTTATTAATATAAATAACTGTGCTAAATAACACACCTAATAGCTGGTATAAACATTTGACAAGTCGTGTTAACATAAAAGTTATTTTTTTATTTTTATCATAGACAAAAAATATACATGTAAAGTTTTAAAACTATAATATTTCTATAACAGTATTCAAAGCAACCTATAATACTCAAGAATAAAATGGGTTTTTTTTAAATAAAATAAAACCTGGGAGAGCGAACTGTGGAATGAGTATCTTTGCTTCTTTTGGTCGGGAAATTTCGAAACAAAAGAGAAATTAACCGTGTGTCACCGATTTACTTGTTACTTTAAACAACATGTAATTAAATGCCCACGCATCCAACACGCGATCATGTTTAGCCAGCAGTTAAGCCAAATACAGTAACAATAGACATTTAACAATGTAGGACAATCGGAGAATGCAGGATAGAAATGTTTCTCACGAAGACTTTTTGGACAAGAATGCTCCAAATTACACTAACTTGTTTGTTTTTAAATTGCTCTTTTACTATGTAGATTAAATGGATGTACAGATTTTGATGTTATTCTTTAGGTAATCACGTAATTAGCGGCATGTAGGTGGTTGACAAATCACATTTATTAACAACACAAACTCATGCCTGTAACCCAGAGGATTAGACGAAGACCACAGACCTCCATTAGACACAGTGGTGACACACCTTTCTCGCTATTTCTACATTCATACATCTCCGCATGTAGCACGTTGGTTTCGAGTGCCCTTAATACCGCCCTTTGTGAATATTTCATCGAACTGAACGGTAAAACTCAAATGCGTAATAACAGTTGTAAATAGATACAAAGGTGATTATAAAACCAAATCTGTCATTACAGTGATGGATAATCGCCGATTACCTAGACGAGTGTTACGAAAGCAAGTTAAAACGAAACAGCACTCGTCTCTTGACCTCCTTCAGTTTACAAAGTTTGAGTAATTTGTCTTCTTTTCCCCCGAAATTAAGCTTAATGATACTTACGAAAACGATTTTACCCAACTTTGTTATCGAACTGAAATTTAGCGTTTTTATCCAATATAGATTTAAAAGTTTGAATTACATTATTGATAAGTAATTTCCAAGAAAAAATATATTTAACACAACATAGATTATCAATATCTCTCAAATGTAATTCACTTCTAAACATGGCTAAAAGATAAAAGGTGATATAAGTATCTAATTTAGTTAATTTTAATACAGAGATTATTTAATAAAAAAGAAAACAAATGTAGCATAGCCGGCCAGCTTTACGAGTCGCGATTGTTAAAAACAAAATAGGTTCTTTTGCATCCAAAAATAAGCGCGTTGCGTTGCGTCACGCACAGAACTATTGCCCTTAATCACGCACGCTACACGGACATTACACGTCGTATATTTACAAAATGTCTCGTTCCAACATTTCGAATTACGATTATTTCATGTACAGCTCGACCTACTTTTGACAAAGATAGATAAAATATAAAATTCATAAAAATGCACTTTGTAACTTTCTCATTGATTGATGTGAAAATTAAATAATTTACAAAAGAATTCAGATTTCACGTTTCTTGAAATGGACATAGTTTATTTACATTGGGACATTATTTTAATTGCAAATCAAATTAAATATATTTAAATCTAAATAAAGCTGCACACATCATATGCAGATATTTATGTTATTATGTACTTAATTATGACTTTTTTTATTTTTCTATTAGGAATTAGGTACATACATTGTATGTTTTACATATTATTCTTAGCATTCTACAATTTGCTGTCTCTTAATATTAACTTTATATATTCCTTACAATTACCATTTTTGGTAAATTTTTAAACTATTTTAATTTAGGGAATTTAGGAAGCTAAATCGGATGAATGAAATATCAGCATCAGACTAAAGTTTTCTTTCTTAGTATACAAGTTACAAAGAGTAGAGGGAGGATACTTCAGTAGCGGCTCAAGTTTTGTATTAGGAGGCAGTTATTTGAAGTTGATAAATTTCGCATTATAGATTTTTCTATTATTATATAATATAATCTCTAGCATAAGGTACTTTTATATTCAATATATTGAAAATTATCATGAATTCTACTGCACTTTTAAGTAGTTTTGTTTGTAGAATTTTTACTTTTATGAGTATGAGTGCCATTTTTCCAACACTCAGGTTGAAGGTAGGTGACTTCTGGACCAGGTACCTGGAGAAAAACCAAGGATCTCTATGGATGGATCAAACAGCTTCTGACTGACAACAAGTTTCTGCCCATGTGACTAATGTATGAAATATTTTTGTAAAGTAACAAAGAAAACAAAGTACTACAACAAAAAAATAACTACTTAGATCTTTTCATTAAAAGTAAACAACGAATGCCAAAAAAACGGTTACACCTAACTTAGTTGCGGAAAAGCCATTTAATGATTACTTGTAAAATTTATCAATTCACTAATTAAGTAATCCTGTCATAGAAATATACATTTAGGGATAAAAACAATAAAACATAAGAAAACCTTATTATCACTTACCTGTTTATGTTACGAGATACACCGTTGGCACTAATATTTCAAGTTTCATTTAGTAAATAAATCACTTTTGGACATTCTTGTGAAATATCATAATGAGTTTAATACATGATAACGTTGAAATTTTATTTAACAAAAATAATAAACACATGCGTTCCTCTACAATCCATCCCAGCGCAAAGCAGATTAAAAGTAGTAAACGCGCTAATGACAGATTGACAACGGCGCTTAAAGCACTGAAAACTAAAATTGTCATTATTTTTGTATACAAGAAATATTGAAAATAACTTAAGATTGTGGTATCATTATGGTTAATTTTGTTCCATTTAGTTGGCAGTTAAAGTACAACATCAGTGATTTATTATTTTTCTTAATCATTTTTGTTCTATAAGATCCTGAAGTATTTACAACACATGCGTAAAACGGAGTGATTCGATTTTTACACTGTTAACTATCACCAAAGAGTACATAAAATAAGAGACGGGATACTTGACTAATTAGATACACAAACGGAGAATAAAAATTGTCATTTTCAATGCTAGCAATATTATGAACAAGTCTACATTGCTACCAACCTAAAAAAATCAATCTGTCAGTTTCCTTTTTGACGTTTGAAAGTATTATTCGAGGGAAAACAATTTAGGAAAAATACAACAATTTCGTTAATTGCAACGTTAATTTAATCTTCTGACTAAAGCGAACATATTTTAAGAACGCAACATAATGCTCACTGCTTTCGTAAAATACCATTATTGTTTAGTTCACCAACAAAATATCCCAACTTTGATAAATGCTTATTTGTTCCAGTTTGTTTATTTGATAGGTCATATTTTCTGAAAGAACTGGAGTAGTAGTGTCACTCTCGTCGGGAGAAATAGAATAACACTGCAAAGAGATTAGCTCCTATCTGTTGGTAAAATATTTAGAAAATTGCTAACAAGACGTTACAATTAATTCATTAAATTTGGATGTTACAAATATCACAACTTAAAATAAAACCTAAACCTTTTTTGAACTAAGTAATAAAAAATAAACAGAGATTGTATACAATTTTCTTACAAGTAATTTCAATTTCAACACAGGTACTTTACCCCAAAATGATGCCTCCTAAGCTCATTATTTTTCCTCGTTCAGGAATCTATACGTTACACATCTATGGAGAATAGTAATAACAAAAGAGTTAATATGCGGAATCTTTAGGTTCATGATAATTTTATGAATTTATTTGAGAAGTAACACTTAAATATTGTATTCTATTTTTACATTACATTATATTTAACATGACTTTTACATTTGCAATGTTTTGATAGGAAAAGTTTGGATGCAATTGCACTGCCGACGCTCCAAATAGGGGACTATTTGGAGCGTCGGCAGTGCAGTTGGCGCTTGACCGGATCATATTTTACATATCCTGGTACGATCTCCGCTTTATAGTAAGGCGTTCTTCGAATTTCATGAAAACATCCATCCGACATTCTTACTGTAATTACAAATTGCAAACAACTGCATAGATATTCAAAGATATGTCTGAAGTCAACCAACCCTCACTGGCTCTGCGTTGTTGAATAAGACCTAGTCGCATTCCTGAGGGTAGGCTCCGAGCTCCTCAGTGGAGTATAGTGTGTCCGTATAGTGAGCTTGATGATGACGATTTGTTTTGCTTCAATGCATATTGTCTTGTTAGCAATTTTCTAAATGTTTTACCTACAGATAGGAGCTAATCTCTTTCCAGTGTTATTCTATTTCTCCCGACGAGAGTGACACTACTACTCCAGTTCTTTCAGAAAATATGACCTATCAAATATACAAACTGGAACAAATAAGCATTTATCAAAGTTGGGGTATTTTGTTGGTGAACTAAACAATAATGGTATTTTACGAAAGCAGTGACCATTATGTTGCGTTCTTAAAATATGTTCGCTTTAGTCAGAAGATTAAATTAAAGTTGCAATTAACGAAATTGTTTTATTTTTCCTAAATTGTTTTCCCTCGAATAATACTTTCAAACGTCAAAAAGGAAACTGACAGATTGATTTTTTTAGGTTGGTAGCAATGTAGACTTGTTCATAATATTGCTAGCATTGAAAATGACAATTTTTATTCTCCGTTTGTGTATCTAATTAGTCAAGAGTCCCGTCTCTTATTTTATATACTCTTTGACTATCACTGTCAATTAACTTCATCAGACCAATCAGACGGCTCAGCTGTCACTTTTTCTTATAAAAACACAGGTTTCCTCAAATTGTTTATTATTCTTATGGCGTTTTATTTTTTATAGGCAATAAGGAACGAAAAAAATCAATGGCCTAGTTTTGTTTCAATATTCATTTAAGGCAAAGTAGGCATTTACCACAATGGAGGCCGATTCAACTACGTATGAATATACGTATCATGAAGATACAAAAGTTTCAGATTCTCTACCTTTCACGATCTGTCCTGGGTAAGATTACTAGCTGTGATCAAATGATCCACCTTGATCAATTGATTTCGTTATTTACCATGACATTTTTGCAGAAATTATAAACTATATCAGGAATTCATAAATGATAATGGAGGGAAGAGCCTGGAAAGTCAAATCGTTGAAAGACTCCAGGAGTTTGGCTTGTTGCCGAATACGGTGAAATGTCCTTCATCCAATCCTGATTGCAAGGTTGTTTGCAAAGTTGCACGTGTTATAGACAGGTATGGCGAAATAATCCAACTTACACCCCAATACATTTACAGATTTTACTTCAAGTTTCCTTGTTTATTAAACAATATACTTTGTAACTGCAATACAGATCTTGAGTTTACTGCAAAAAAGGCTAAGTTACATTTACTTATTTGTGCTTCCATACTTACAGAGTTCAATGGGTTTGTGGAGGCTGTGGGAAAAGACAACCAATCAGAATTGGTTCATTTTTCTTCAAGTTGCAATGTTCTATACTGCAAGCACTTCAGATGACTCTTGCATGGTGTGAGGATGTAGATATTTCTGTTGCTTTACAACATTTTGGTAAGTTGTTTACTTGAAACGGAGGTCAATGACCTCAAGCTTATTTGTGATTTTACTTTTAAACTTATAGATTAATCCTTGTCTTCAATTTCCATGCTCACTTTACTAATATATTCAGATGTTGAGGTAAGTTATTGTAAGGTAATTTAATCAGCAACATATATAATTGTGTACTAACCGTGTTTGAATATGCTAAATATTATGTATTAAATTATTAAGACATGTAAAATTAATTTTACAGATGTCAAACCAAGAGTTGCCATTTCCATCTATGATCGACTTGATGAATTGGCTATAAAGGAATTAAATAAACAAAAACTAGGCGGTGAAAACTGTGTGGTTATGGCAGAGATGTATCCAGATTGTCTGAACCGGTTATCACCAGATACCACTGACCAACCACATGTACACCGGATATTAATGCTGGCAGATACTAAAGTTAGTAGTTTCATAAATTATATAAAACTAGTGCATTTACCAATTCCATACAATGAAGTATGACCAGTGTAAGGCAATTTGATTAGCTATTCTTTCTGCACATGGAAAATAGATGGCGCTAATAACAAACTAATTACATTTGCTAGAAATTCAACTAGTTTTCTTGCCACATACGGGTATAAATAAAAATCAATAGTTTTGTATTTGTCCTTTGTGCATCCTTAACTATGGGATACATGGTGATGAAATATTCTTAGTCATTATAAAATGTTTATTGCAGCATATATCAACATATTATAGACTACATGTTATAAAGGGGGATCCAAAACACTTACATATTGGTAACACTGATGATGATGAGGTAAATTTAATTTTATATCCATTTTTCACTGTATCTGTCTTATTTTGTAATTATTTTGTTATGTAGTGATGTTTTATTGATAAAGTTTTAAAGCAAAATTTTTTCAGATACTCAAATCAGAAGTGGAGATGGTATTAAGTAATATGACTGAACCAGGTTCCATGGTAGTGTTGGGCAATAATGTACCCAATATTGATGGATGTGTCAGCTACCAGAATCTCGTACCACATTGTGATGTGGATATGCAGAGATTTTGTAAGTGTAATATATTATATTTTAAATTCATATCTCACTTATTATTTATATTATAAATGTGCATGGATGGATGATTGTTAGAAGGAATCTTGAAATTTAACATATATGTAGAATGTAGCCTGGAAGAACACTTAGGCTACATATTAAAAAAAATTGTTACAATTCCGCGCGGACAGAATCGCAGGCGACAACTAGTGATGATTAAATACTATTTATGTTTAATATGTGTAATTTGTTTATTTGTAATGTTAGTGAGTTCTCGCGTGTGGCGGCAAGCGCTGACGCTGTGCGCGGCTTCTCGCGAGTTGTGCGGGGTGGATGCGGGGGCGGGGGCAGGTGTGGGCGCGGCTGGGGGAGGGACGGGCGCGGCTGGGGGAGGGACGGGCGCGGCTGGGTTAGGGACGGGCGCGCCGGCGTGCGCGCTCGCCGTGCAGCGATACCTCGACGGTTCGCTTTACCGTTTGCGATACGATGACGGCTTCTATGACCACATGTTAAAACTTATATCTGTAGAGTTCACAGAAAAGTCGGCCAGTGATATAAGTGAGACTTAATTGTTTAATATAATCGTTTTCTTTGTATTCATCTCGCTGCGGTATCTGCCAAAGCAAAGATCACAACAAGTGCCTTGCCTATAAATAAAAAAAAAAATTTGGTAATTTGGATTATTGTTAGCATTAACTTACTAGACTTACTAAGACTGATTTCTCACTGTTTTTTAGTTTATATTTCAGTTGTTTTAAATGATATTTGATAAATTATTTCTCTTATAATTTTAGGTACGTTATTATTGTATTCTTGTCTTCCTAAGTGCCTTGTATTAAGAGTTGTGACTAGTTAAGAATATAATGATATTATTTTCTTTTTACTTAGTTACTTTGTGTCTTTATGAAGACCTAGTTTTACAATTTTAGTTTGATAATTACTATAGTACTAAATATTTTGCAAAAGTTTGGCGCGAAATTTAAATCTGTTTCGTTTTTGGAAATTGAATGTTTTAATGTTTCATTTTTTACGTTATTCTTTGATTTAATAGTTAAGTAACTACTCTTTTCACTTTGTTTTTTTCGTAGTTTATAGCAACTATCTTACATCTGTGAAAGGAAATTCAGGTGAAGATTACATGTCAGTTTTATTATAGTTATATTCCAATCGTGTTTGATACCAATTATTAGTTTGATAAGAATTGTTACAATAAATGTAAGGTTATTTTTTGTCTTGTTTTATTTTTAATCCTTATAGTTCAAAAACAAAACTTTTAAAAATTAATTTTTTGTTTCCTAAAAAAAATTAGATCCCTTCCAGCAAATTCAAAGTACGTGTGACAACCAAATGATTCGTTAAATATCTTAAATGTCCTAAAAACAAATTGTGTACATATATAATAGTATAAAGATATACTCGAAAAATATATATTTGCATAAGTCATAAAGAAAAACTCTAATGAAGATATTTAAGTAGCTGCAAAGAATGACCTTAGTCATGACTAGATGTTTCTTAGAATGATTTGCATATTGGGTCAAACTATCGACTTTCGCCAACTTGTGAATAGCGTTAGGCTGTTCATGAACTAGAGGAAATGTCTAGAGAACTAATAACTAAACATATCTCTAAACGAATATAATGGTCTTAAAAGGTAATGTTTAAAAAATAAATCGTCCTGATAAATAATGAAACCCTTCCAATCCGTTATGTGTTCTTAAAATAGCTTTAAAGACACGACAAATTTGCCACAACATTACAACGAGAGATGAATAATCAACATAGCATCTCTTTGCCTTTTACTAATCTAATCTGTATTTAAAGAGAAAATATACAATCACTTTAAAACGATAAAGAGCAGACTAAGTTATGCCTTTAAGTTAAACAAAAGTAGTAAACTGCTATCATTAAATACTGAAGTACGTTTGTAAGTAACTTAAGGTGGTCGCGTTTGCACCAGATCAAAATTAGGGCAGCAGATGAACTGGACCAGTCGTTGAACGGAGCTTTTAGAAAGGCGAACGAAGCGGACTGCAACGAAATTAAATGCATAGTTTATTTTAAGGGCATCGTAAAACTTGTCGCATAAAATTAAATATAACACACCGTTAAAACGACATTTGTAAATTAAAAGATAATGATTATAAAATTATAGCCCAAAAATAGAGAAAGGAGAGATTGGAAAACAAAGAGAGATTTCCTTCTTACAAAGTTTTATATCTGAAATTGAATGTTGATGAGGGTCGGATTGTTGTTATTGCTATTAAAAAGTAAATGGGATAATCTACTTATCATACTAATATTATAAAAGCGAAAGATGGATGACTGTTATTACATATCTCAAAAATGAATTAACGGATCTCGATGAAATTGGCACAGACAGAGAACATAAGTTACTTAGTTTTTAATTTAGCGCGGTTGAAGTCGCGGTTATAAGCTAACTCATAATATATTTTACATTTAACGTGTTTTCTTTATTTTTCCCAATGCTAGAATTGATTCTAAATAAGATTCTAAACAATTCGTCATACCAAAATCGTCAGAGTAACTAAGCAAAGAAAAAAACTCCGTGTAACTAGACTTAATCCCCATGATGGTAAATAAAAAGGCAATACTAGCGTTGTACCGTTTACTGGCGGTATCCAGTACAGTTAGTTAGTCGAAAAGCATGCGCAGGCGCATCGCATCGAGCAACAGGTTGTTTAACCGTACCATTCGTTATCTGTGCCGCCGGACTTCGATCCACCACTCTACTATAAGCTTAATCAATAACTTAATTGAATACGTCAAAGCACAAACGCCTTACTATGTTTACTTATCGGATATGTTATAACATATACGAATATTGATTTAGAAAGTTATGTCCGCAGTTTAATTCGACAAAGCTGTTATAAACAGTTAGGTTTTATTGGATTGGAACTTTTTGTATGTATTCGTATGGGAACTGTGAATTTTATTTGCTCGGTTATAAGATAATTCAGCGGGTGGCTAAATAGTTAAGAGCAAAAGCTTTTGGATATAAAAGGTTAACTAGAATATTGAAGAATGTAGTACAAATAGAATGTTTAAGTGTCTGTTATTATAACAAACAAGTTCTTTTACAAAAACCATTTTATTTCAAGAACATCTCAATTAGTACAGTATTGAGTTCGTAATAAAACCAAGAAAGCTTTAAACTGTTAAACTAATAAAATTTAATTACTGTCGTTGACTAAAGCAAGATCTGGTTAACTTTTTGTTTTTTATGTGAGGCCCTTCTAAAGTGTCCTACATATTGACCGTTTGTCTTATATTAAATCCAGTTTATCCGGGGCGGGTGCCGCGCTAGGAGCGGCGCTCAGCGGCGGCGGCTGTACCGCTATCTTCGCGAATAAATAAAAGATGCAGCGGAGAGTGGGTACACAGCGGGCCCGGCTAGCCGTGCTTCAGTGCGCATCCACACACCTCTCGCGATGGTCAACTACAACCGTATCGTGTGCGAGGCGGCCGTGCTGGCCGTTGTCATGGCCGTAGCACTCGCCGCACCAGCCGCCGATTGCGCCGAAAGACACTTCGACCAGCGACAGAACGGAACAGAGAACTACAGACTCAACATCGATGGCGTGGTCATCGCTGTAGCGCCCGCCGATTCCCTGCTCGCAGCGGCTTCCGATATCGATATAAGCGATCTACTCGATTTGGAAAATTTCGGAGATTTGCCCGTGCATAAGCCAATACCTCCTAGTTCCGATTCTAATAAGCCGGAAGATGTTAAACCGGATTCACCATCAAAGCCAGCAGATGATCCCGTGAAGCCTGCGGAGTCTCCGGCAAAGCCTGCAGAATCACCTCTGAGCGATGTAACACTTCAATCAGAAGTTAAGAGTCAGAAGAAAGATTCAAGCTTAAGGAAACAGGAGAAAGCTCAAAGGTAAATTGAACTTTCGTGTACTTTGAACATTTACTTTTAAAAGATAACTTTTAGTTTAACATTATCGTCTTATCTTTTCTTGAAATATAACAAAATTACAAATAATTCAGAATTAGAATGCTGATACGCTACTAATGTAACAATTTGTGACTATCTTCTTTTGTTTTACTAATAACGAATTACGTATGGTTAATCTTTATGTCGTAAATAAAATTAAAAAAAACAAAGCTAGCAATCAGTAATAATGTAAACTAAAAAAAAATTGTAGACTAAGTTACATTTGCAACATAAACAAAAAAATAATGTTTTTGTATGTATTGCAGATTGAAACAGCGGCTGGCCAACATGTTGATACCGTTGCTGAGACGGACGCGTCATCATTGACCATTCAAATGCAGTGATGCTACACGAGTTTCCACTGACGAAACATTTACAAGAAAACATATTTAGTGGTTGCAATTTTTCGAAAAGGAAGAGTAATGTTTCGGCGGTGGAAACACGAAGCAAAGCTGATAATCTCACGTATACAAGACGAAGACTTATTAAGTGATAAATTATTTGCATTTATTTATTAGATTAAGTTAGTTTGTAATATCGAAAGATAATCTGTTGCGTTGAAAATAAATGATAATTATTATTGAAAAATCCTAATAACCGTTGTTTTAATGCCTTTTTAAATAAACAAGTAATATTATTGACTAAATAGCAGTAACTACTGACTCCTTTAGGTAAAAATAATGTTAGCACTTTATTAATATCGACCTTCTTGTGACAAGTTAATATTAATTTACATACATACATATTTTTGTCAAGTCTTGAATTGAATTTTGTCAATTTCACTAATTGATATTTTGAATCAAAACGATGTGCTCGATCTCTTGAACAGAACATTTATACTTTATTTTTAAAAGTATTGCAAACATTAAAAAGTACTAAGAAGTAATAGGTTAGTTAGTTTATTAATTATGGTTGTGACTGCTGTCTAAGAAAAAAATGTATTATAACAAAACAGCGCCTGCTCTACCTCACTTCATTTTAAATTGAATGAACTATATGAACCTTAATTAGGTTCATATAGTTAACTAAGACTTTGTAAATATATAGATACTAACTTTTGCCCGCTCTGTCCGCTCCGTCTGCGCGGAATTTAAAAAAAAACTTAATAAATAGCTTATGTGTTCTTCCAGTCTATGTTGTACATCTATGTCAAATTTCATCAATATCCATTGAGACGTATTATATTTAGAGATACCTTCTAACAAATATCCATAAATCCTAACATTCGCATTTATAATATTTGTAAGATAATTTATTTACAGAGTCACTGCGTAGTATTAATTAAGTGAATTGTTAAATTGATTAAATATATTGTCGGTTAAACATTTTCTAATGTTGCACATCGGTGCAACATTAGAAACAACTTAGAACATTGCTGTTAGGGAGTATATCGATACTCCCTAACAGCAATGTTCTAAGTTCGATTCCATAGTATCGTAATTTTTAATGAAAATCTGTACTTTAAATATTTCAGTATATAGGTAAAACGTTATAAAATGATACTTTTGCAGTCGCAATATGTATATTTATTATAAGTAAAAAAACATAAGCACGAAGTCACTGTTTTGAACAACGGTGAATAAAGACCAGGCAGACGTAATAACCGCAATCAAAGCTAAAAGATATAAGCGTCTAGCTTTAGTTTGTATAGGCGGCATAAAGACAAGCAAGGTCTTATGTATCAGCTGTTAATTGTACCAAAAGTATTGTGGCAATGTATAATATTTGTTGAATAAATATAAGTGTTTTATATTATATTTTATTTATAACGGTTGTCGTAGGTTTTTGAGATCAATATCTCTGTATAAAACAACTGTACAACTAACAACCTTGTCATTATCTTTGACATAAATATAATATATTTGAAACGGAGATTTTGGTTTTAGAAACCCACGATAATAAGATAGTCGTATAGGATATTATACAAGGAAAGAGCTTCTGCAAGTACCTAAATGAAATTTTAAAAACTGTATATTTTGAACTGTTACAAAACAAGAAAAGTTTATGTAGGTTAGGATGTTGGATGCATTTTATGTCTTGGTTCAGTTTTATTACAGTGTTTATTATTTTTAATCGATAGAAAGCATGTATGCTAACTCGATAGAAAGTAGTTGTTGTTTATCGTAACGGACTTTCGCCTCTAGAAATTTCCAAGCTTCTATATTTTATGGAAATTTCAAATAAATAAATACATTATTTATGTTTATTTTTCAGATACACTTTTTAATTAAATGCTACTATTTTGAATGATGAATTTATTGCTTATCGATGAAATGTTCTTATATTTTCTAACCTTAACATTGTAAGTTTAAGATACTCTAGACCTAATATAAAGTTTGACATTCGTGTTGATAAAGAAGACAGTCAGTCGCCTGAAGTGTATTATTTAGCTTGAGAAAGTTCTTGAAAGTTTGTGTGTATTGTATCACATAAGAACTTGTTTCAGTGGAAATTAAATGTCGACGAGAATTTGCGGCGAAGGAAAGGGAGAGTGTAATGACCTGTCTTATAAACGTTTTATAAAATGAGCGGTGCAAAACAATAATAAATTAATAAAAAATAAACCTTAAAACTTATTATTTGAATAATGTAAGCACGATTCAGTACAAATTAATTAAACTAACCCTCGTACAAAGAATACATATGGTTTTTTATACTTATCAAATATCTGACGTCACTATTTCCTAACACCTAATTAAACAATCAGGTAATCTTTCCTTGTGTTTTGATAAGAATATTTTATCATCTATTATTTGTGTAAATAAAATTATATTCGTTATCTTCCTTTCATTGTAGAATATACAGATAATTAAACCATGTTTCAAATCACGTTATTTAAAAAACATATAACCCGACTGAATGGCTCTACTGGATAGCGCCATCTATTGGTTGCTTTTCTTAAACACAGATTTTAATATTTCTGATTTGACTAAACTCTAATTTAACATAAATCTCTTTAACTCTATTTATTTAAAATGAGAATACTCATATATATACAAACCTATATCGATATGTATATACAAAACAAATTTACATACGCGTGAAAAATTATACTCCTTGTCAATCGATAAATAAATGTAACAAGCAAAGCGTGAATATTTTTGAGTGTAGTGAATAAAGTCAAGTAACTTAGTGTGTCTTACAAATACGTAAAGGTTATTTCTATGTTATTTTTATCTATAAATGCCGTTATTCTTTGATTACTTGGTTGTATAAACGTGGGTCAGGTGGAGCAGGCTATCGACATGTTTACATAGCGTTTACAGTTACTTAGTATAATTACATTGCAACATTGATGTTATATCTAGTGCTAAACATAATCTAACTCATAGCAAATTGTAATACATCAGTAGAAGACCTATAATTTTATTCCATAGTTTTTGTCTGGATTTCCAATTTCGGGAAATTCAAAATTCAAGAATTTTCCAGTTTCAAAATAGTTCAGACCTTAGTAAAGGCCATATTAGAATTATGTACCAACATTTTATAGTAAGTTCTATTTAAAAAATTAAGGAGCAATAGGTTAACACGATATGGGCGTTATGTGAATAATGCATTGCCACGATCACGGATAGTTTAAGATTTGATTTGATTGATTGAAGCTTAGTTAAGGACGTTTTTAAACATAATTGTGGTGGAGTACGCCTAAAAAAAGCAGATGGATGGTTAGCGTGAAAGGTTACATGATGAAAAGATAGATGGATTTGGCAAAAACCTTTTTTGCACAAAAGTAAGACAGGTCAGGTCAGGAGGAGGTGATGAATGACTTCGAAATATTATCTTACTTTTCTACTTCGTACTTCGATTAAGTTTTCAAAATATTTTTCAAATTATACGTAAATTAACATGAGTTACTTGTATTCGCGTGTACGTACTTTCAGAACTCGGTTATCATATCGCTGACCCTTGCTCACTGTCAAAGGTGATCGCCGCGCCGTACGACTCTGGATGCGTCACCGCACGCGACACGGAACAATAGTTAGATTGTGTCTGTATAGATATGTAACCTACTTAACTTATATTTATAGTGATAAGATATACTCTTCATATCATTTCATTTTTGTCTATGGTTAATATCAGCCTTAGGCGGTGTAATTAATGGCTAATATGGAGCAATCGCTACAGGCCAGTAATCAACGGTAAGTGTCACTCATGGGTGTATGTAAAGATGTTAAGAACGTTCGTGTCGCGCGAACCGTTACGGTGTGCCCGATTCCTTCGGCGGACTGGTTCGCGGATGTTCGGTAAAAGCGGCGCGGGAGCTGGCGGCGCACAGTTAGCGCCCCGAAGCCGCGACAGCCACACGCAACATGCTGCCCCTTATTCTCGCGAGCGTCCTCGCCATCGCGGCCGCCGCCCCCGCTACCTACGATCAGCGGCAGGACGGCGACTTCAACGTGCGCGCAGACGTACAGAATGTCGTCCTCCTCATCGCCGTACCCCAGAAGATGATACCGAGCAGCCTGCTCGACGGTTTTCTAAAGCGGTCGAAGCAGCGCACCAACGAGGACATCCAGGAGCGAGCTGATGTACAGATAATGGAAGCATTCGTAGAGCCCAACACTCCTTATCAGGTTGAAATCGGTCCGGGAAGCGACAGGTCGGCGAGCGGCGACGGGCGTGCCGTGGAGGTGGTGATCGCCGGCCGCCGGCAGCTGGAGGGAGAGTCGCACGAGCGGGACGAGTACAAGCTGCTGGGAGCCACAGAGCAGTGCGGCCCGGGCCGAGAGCGCGACCCCGATACACTCACCTGCCGAGACCGCGCCGACGCTGACGACGCTGATGCCGTCGACGACGCCACCAAGTCCGAGAAAACTCCAGAAGTTGTTACTGTCTCGTAGTGCATTGTAAGCTGCGATTGTTAAGCCTATTAATTTGTAAAGATAATTTATTTCTAAACTATTTATTAATTTAATTTGTACAATATATTTTTAAGTAAATGTTAAATATTATACCTGGCTTTTAATTTGATGTTATTAAATTGAAATTCAATATTATTCATTGAATTAATCAAACCTTTATCAATTTTTTTACAATTTCGTAAGTTTTTGTTTTCGTAAGGAAATGACACCCCTAGATCAATGAACAAAGAAAAAATGCGGAAAGTGCAATGTTGTTATTGCATAACTTTACCTCAGACAGCAGGAAATATTACAACATGTACATTAAGTTATCAATAATACATTCTTAACAGTGTGAATCGAAATAATATAATGTAGATTCCCAAAGATAAAGATATCGAGAGAGGAGGGTGCAATGTTTAGAATTGTTTTTTATTATCATTCCGAGTCTCTGTTGTCATTGAGAGTTAATTATTTTTCCTGATAGACTCTGTATACAATTTAGTTCAATGTTTTATTAGATAAATATTAGATTGTGTAGTAGGTGTGTTTTGATAAGAAATTGTCGTTTATAACAAGATATATAAATAAAATCTAGTTCATATACAATATTTAAACCTAATACTTTAATAAAACGAATTAATTAAAAAATATAAAAATAATAATATGTTCACGTTGTGACCATTGACAATTACTAGCCGAAATGCCTTATAAAGAAGAAATATTCATCAATTACACTTCATTATCGTAACT